TTAGCTGCTTTAACACCAGTGGTGACAAGTGCATGATTTGATTACAAAAGAACTTTGCAGTCTTGCCCCATTATATTGCAACGATCCCAGCATGTCACTACTAGGGACAGATGAACCAGTTCTGATCAATTCACAACCGGCCCAAATCTTCACTGAACCCCAAACTAAATGACTAACTCCTCTGAAATGTACTCATCTTTAGTCACCATGTGCATGGGTGGGGCATGAAGCGCTGGCTGCAGGAGGCTAGCCCCCCCCCCTTCTGCACTCCCCTGCCGGAGTCCAGAGCCCCCCCCACTGCAGCTGCCGGCTTCCACCCCAGAGTAGCACCCCCACAGCGCAGGAAGGCCAGGAGGGTGGGCAGCTGGGGTCACCGCACAGGGGACTGGAGATGCACCAAATGAGAAGCAGGATGTGGGGAGGTGCTGGGGCGGAGTGTGGGCGGGGTCACACCTGGCTGTTTGGGGAGGCACAGCCTATCATACCTGCCATCCATGACCATGTGACTACACAGAAACAGGGCATCTGGAGAATTTGAAAGTTCACTACTGCCACTCACTAGCATCTGTTGACTATAAGAAGATGGGCCCAAACTAAAACCTTTGATCAAAATCTCCCCCAGAATTTTGGGGATTTCAGCATCGGAACATGGGTCCCAATTTGTATGTGACAGCCAGACCCATCTCAACTATTGACTGAAACAAAAGCCTGGTTCTGCACACCTCCTCACTTTGGGATGTTCAGAATCTAAATCTGGCTCCCAAAATGGTGGGCTGAGCCCATTTCTAATTTATAGCATCCGTTGCTGTTGAGTGCCCACAGTTGAGATTATTGGTCTGTCTATAACTTTTTCAGTGGATGGGTTCTTTGCAAATAAAATATTGTGAATTAGGTTTTTCTCTCCTCCTTTCCCACTTGGCTTTTTCTTTTGATCAAAACTGTAGGTCTCCTTCATTGTCAGAGTGGTCCTAGAGCAAAGTCTTGCTCAGAAATAAATGAAAACAGAGGAAGATACCATCTATCACAAATTAACTCAGTCCATTAACCTGCAGTCCACATGCCCAGGCAGTATAACCGCAAGGATTTGGTTTAAGATCTTAAATTCTGCTCTGGCCCCTTTACAAAAAGCCAGAGTGTGACATAAAGGAGCCTTTAAAGTGTTGTGCCCACGGAAAATCCTCTGGCACAGGGATTGTGGAAGAATGCTGTAAAACTGATTCCCAAGGACTCCTTTGCAAGCCCTGGGGTAGGGAGCATGCTGGGGGTGGGTGTATTAGGTGCAGAACCATAGCATGCTGCATTGCAGCATTTCCAGGCGGTGCTACGTATGTAGGGTAGCCCCAAGGGCCAGCCATAATTTAAACAGGGGCTTCTCCGCATCCTCAAGCAGCCAAGGACAGGGAGGATACAGAGGTGGGCTAAAGCCACTTTAGTCCCCCTCCCCTGGGCTGTGGGTCCTGTACTGCTTCTCTTAGAAGCCCAATAGAATCTGAGCACAGCGCTTCCATTATGACAAGGCTCTGTGGAGGAGGTTCCAACTGGAGCCAGAGCCAGCGCTATTTACAGGCTTTAAAAAAACAGCGGTGCCAGCTTAAAACCAATCTGCTGCTTTGTGGCAGCCAATGTAAAGAACTCAGAGCAGATGTAACATGATCGCACCCCTGTCAGACAGCAGGCGAACATGATGCTGTATTTTGAATGAGCTTTGCACTTATGGAGAATTTATCTCCATGTTAGAACTCCCCTGCTGTAATGATGAGTGTTCCAGGCATGCCCCAATCATAAGCCATTGATTTCGATGGAATGTTAATAGATGACAGACCAAGTAGGTCTGATGGAGGACCAGCAGGGAGAAGAGTTCACTCCTTGTAAGCATTTCCATTCAACAGTGGACAATGGGTCATAAAGGAAAACCAAGAGCCTGATATTGTAAGTTGTTACGGTCTGATGGGAGATGAGAGTGCGGCACACCTCACTGGGTTGGGTTCTGATATTTTAGGAACATGTTTCTGAACATACTGAACCCTTTGAGTATATTGATGATAGCCTCAATAAACAGTTAAAATTGATGCAAACAAAGTGGAAAGCTATACTAGCACTTCAGGTAACTGAAGTGCACCTGCGCAGCATGCTTATGGTCTGAATTTTAAAAGCATACACTTGACCCGGCATCACATAATTCTCTGGAAGGCAGTTTGCTATATATAACTTAGCAAAAATACAGCTGATTTCACCCTTTTACAGCATGTATTGAGCAATTTGCTTTCATATAAACTGCTGATGGTGGTAAGACTGCCTTTGTTGGTTGTCTGAGGTTTCAAATTGTAAGTGTGAAATTGGATCATTAGTGGATGTTCTTTCTATAGTAGCTTTTTCCTTTTTTTCTACAGGAGGCAGCAGACCATAAGGATCCAATATGCTAGTGGTTTTAAAATTAGGTTATTTTTCTTTACCCCTGTGAGGGGCTCTGTCATGGATCATAGGAAGGAGTTGGCCTTTGGAACTGTGGTGCTGGAACAATTTTTATACTGGGTGCGTTGAAGGCGGACACCATGTATTTGAGTTGTTCTTATTACTCCAAGCCAGGGGGTGTAGCAGCACCCCAGCACCTCTCATTCCAGCACCAGTGATCTGGAGAATAAAAACCTGGAGGATTGGGAAGAAGGAGAAGGGAAATGGATGTATTTGGGTTGGCTTGGGAAGAGGTGGGGACACAGCAAAGCTCACAAGCTTTTACATCAGGCTTCTCCGGATTTATTACAGCTCAGCCTCTGCAACTTTTTCATTTTGATCATCACAACCTTAAATGCAAGAACTGAACCGTCAGAGTGAAAATGTTTGTTACCAGTTAATTCTTTTATTCAAATGTATTAATTATAAATGTGAGACAAAATGAGAGAACGAGCCCACTGAACTGAAAGATAAAAAGCAATAGAAAATTGTCTCCCAGCCAGCAGCCTGCTTTTGTGTGTGTTTTTAAAAATTAATTAATAACATTTATTAGCTTGTTGAGGGTACAAATGGATCTGTAAGGGAGATTAAATTCTCTCTGCTCACAGCCCGTTTCCTCTCTTTTCACAGCCTGGCCTCCCTACAGTTTTCACTCCTGTGCAAATGAAATTAGAACTGGACTGGAAACCGCTGTTTTTTATGTATTTGTTTATTTATTTATTTTGGACTGTGTAGTAAATCAGAGCCAGTTTTCAAGAATAGGTATGCGCAACTGTAGAGGTGAATTTGCACACACATAAAATATGCATACAAATACCCAGTGTAGGGTGACCAGACAGCAACTGTGAAAAATTGGGACAGGGGGTGGGGGGGTAATAGGAACCTATATAAGAAAAAGACCCAAAAATTGGGATTATCCCTATAAAATCGGGACATCTGGTCACCCTAACCCAGTGTGCAAATTAGGCCTTTGTACATACATGATTTGTGCATGGCATATATAACAGGTCACTTCTGCCCAATCAGGGTGTGCACATTACATATCTGCAGCATGAATCAGATGCAAATACATGCATACAATTAAATATATCCAACCTCGAACATCTAGCTCTTAATCTGTATGCTCATTTTTCAACATGTGGTTACAGCAAGCTGTGCATCTATCCCAAAATACCATAGCCTATACTGTAGAGTACAGTGTTAATGCTCCTTCAGTCACACTAAATTAAACATTAGGAGTTTCATAAGTAAAACTTCTCCAAAAATACTTCCACAGCATTTGTGGAAACTCTATTTGCATGCACAGAACCTTATATCTGGCATATAACGTGGGTAACTGAGCACATAAGCCTTCATTTTGCATGAGCAAATTTGGGTGTATACATTTACAACATGTGCACCCACCAATATTTCCCAATTGCCCTAAAATGGAAAGATTGTCTGACTGTAGTCATAAAATGCTTAGCGACAACTGTTCAGTTTGCAGTGGTTCCAAAACAGCAGCGCATGGGGACTGTGCTTTCTTGCATCTAAAGCCCATATTTAAAACTAAAAGCATCTTGTTGTGGGAAATCAGCCCTTGCCTAGTACTGTAACTTCACTGCTCTCTTCTTGAGAACCCATTATTAATGGCACTTTATCATTAGGCTAGCTGTGTAAGTAATAGTTATCTTAATAACAGGGGAAAGGGGGTATTCAAAATCTTTTCAGTCTGGCCAGGCAACACTCATCCCACCTGCCTTCCCATTGTTAAAGATACTATGGTAACCACAACATATTCTTTACAACCATTTTTCCTTTGCGGAGAGATGTTCACGAATGTGCCGGTTACAGATGTTTGCATTGATGCTTCTCTTTGTCATGTTATGATGAATTCCATTGATTATATACACTGGGTATGTCTACACTGGAAAAAAAAAACCCGGTGGTAGCGAATCTCAGAGCCTGGGCCTGCCACAGTGCTAAAAATAGCAATTTAGACATTCCCACTCAGGCCGGAGCTCAGGATCTGATATTCACCCTCCCTCCCCAGGCTCCAGAACTGAAGCTCCAGTCTGGGCAGGTATGTGTACATGACTGTTCTTTTAGCACTGTAGCGTGAGCCCAAGTCTGTAGACCCAGGCTCTGAGACTTGTTGCCACAGCTTGTTTTTTTTTGTTTTGTTTTGCAGTGTAGACATATTCACTGAAACTTTATGGACATTGTGACTTCAGATGGAACCTTTTTTCATGCCCATCCTCTTAGAAATAAAGAACAGAAATTAAGGAGAAACCTTTGCCAATATACTATTCTTCTATGTTTTCTAGGTGGCATCGGCTGCCCTTTCAAACAAAAATTCTCAAGGCTGATGCACTGTCCCACCTCATTTCTCAGCAGAAAATCTGCCCTATTGTATGTGAAAATTATTCAGTTATGATTTTTTTACTGTTGTTTATAATTAAACCCTTAGACAGATGCAACTGAAATTTATCATCTCACCTAAAAATTGCTCTCTGTGGACCCTTTGCCAAGGGAGGGTTTGATGTAATGCAGTAGAGCTCTTCCACATCCCTTCCTGGTGTTACAGGGGCAGAGGTGCAGGGCCCAGCTGTGGTACAGGGCCTCCAGCTGGGAGTTCCTATGCCCAAGGAATATTCTGCTGGTGATTATGTAGATGCATTACGCCTCTTTATGCCTCCTGAGTGGTGCAAAGGGGCTGTAACCAAGATATAGAATATGGCCCAAACTGTGATCCATTGTTTAATACATATATATACTCATTAGAGACTTTCCAGATGGTAGAATTGTTTCAAGTTATCTTTGATGTTTTTAGTCAAATAATAATGATAGCTGGCCTTTGTATAACAGTTCACGTTTTCAAATCACTTTACTAAGTCACTGGTGTTGCATTACAGGCCACAGATATGTTTTTACTACAATAACCAAAAGAATTTAAACTAAAAGGGATATGGATGCTGCAGTGTGGTAAAGCAGAGTATCAGAAGATAGGGATGAGTCATACACAGTAGTATGCAGCCAGAATGCACATTTATGTCACGGGAATAACAATATTGAAACATTCCTCTTTCCCCCTCGCTCTAGCTGAGTCAACAAGCGATGCACGCAAGAAAAATGCAACAAGTGACAGTGGAAAGAGGAGTTTCTATTTTCTGTTTGCTTTTATCTGCCAGCTGAGGCTGTGCCACTTTTTTTACCATGGTGGCTACCATCAGCACTGGGTTCAGCAATGCCAAGTGTAATTCCATGCCTTCTTTTCAAGCACATTTCCTGGGTTTTCTTTCATACCGAAAAGAGCTCCTCATTCCATCAATTTCTCCACTCTCAGGGGGAGCCGGAAAATGGTGGAATTACCTTTTGACAAGAACAAGCATTCTGAAGCACTATACCTACAAAATCTTTTACACTCAGGACATTTTACTGGCTCTTGCTATATGTATATAGAACCTGTATGGCAATGAGAAATTAGATAATTAGATAATGCATTGAATTCAGAGCTGATATTCATACTTTAATTGGGTTTTTAACTTTTCTCTCTTTTTTTAAACAAGCTTTTTCTTTTAGTTCTTTTGTCCTCTGGCAAAGGAGCCAATTAGTAAAAACTACCCTCTTAACATCGTTATACCATGCTGTTAATTATAAGGATAAGAAATGCCTTTATTGCTTCCAGTATGAAGATTGTGGGCAGGTGAAAAGTTCTGGAAATCAAAGAAGTGCCAGGCAGCCATTATTTAAATAAGAAAAGTGCCTTTAGGAATTGAAATCTGAAAGGATCAGCAGGATCCCCCCACTTTGCGCTTTTTAAGCACAATAAAATGGGAGGTGAGTTTAATTCAGAAGGTATTTGAAATGAAGAAAAAGTCCTTGATGTTCACTTATTCTTATGGCATCAATTTTATTTAATAGTTTGAAAAGTTTAATGCAATCTTCAGGCACATGGCGGAGTTGGATAAGATATATATATTATATATATATATTGTCATGGCTAATAGCATCACTTGGCTGAGAATGAAGATGGGGAGAATGAACATGAAGAGTTTTTTTTTCTCCCTCCCCCAATATGAGGGTGTGGCTGGTCGTCAGAAATGTGAGGAATCGCTATTTATTTACCCATTTGGCTCTCTGGTTTATATTTGAGTTACAGATATTAAAAATGAGCCCATCCATGGTGATGCAGCAGTAAACTGCAGCCAATTCCCTGCCTTTCCACACTCTTCTCAGAGGCAGCTACTGATCTTGTCAGATGCCTCCATACTGTGTGATTTTGTGTTGAGCCTGAGAGGGGACTAGGATGAGACCTTCCAAATTCAGTTTTACTTGTGACCTGACCTAGGACTTGACCCTAGGCCTCCAGTGGTAAGAGATCAGTGTAAGGCCAATCTCCCACACTCTGCTTCCTAAAATGATCATGATGCCAAGCTGGTAAAGAAATAGTCTAATATTTGGTGTGAGAACTCAAGACTTCATTTTGGTAGCTGTGGGTTTGACTCCCCTTTCTACTGAGGCCCCTTTGCACCTGGTGGGCTGTACATTTAATTTAAATAAACATTTGAAGGCCCCTAGACAATGCCAGAGCAATGTAAAGGGGCTTCAATTTAACTGAGATACCAGGGCTCTGCATTCATCCCATGGGCCTATCTTGGCCTCAGATGCAAACAAAAGTGGTATTCAAACTTTTTAAAGAAAACAAATGTAGTGTCAGCTGATGAGCTTAAGCATGCAGGGGGAAAATCAATACATGTTGCATAACAGTATTTTCAGGCTCTAAAATCTCTCGGTGGAATTCTCTTACACAACTATACAGAAAAGTGCTTTAGAGCACAATAAAATCTTTTTATTTTATTTTATGTTTTGCCCTTGTTGCTATGCCAGACTTTCAAGGACACATCAAAAAACCGAATCGAAATGTCAGCTGAATGCATCAAAAGTGTTGGTGCTGAACCAGTTGTAAATATGGTGCACTACTGTACGGATATATTGAAGATGCTGCAATCTTGTACTTCTGTAAATTGTTTGGGATAAATGCAGAAGTGTGGGATGAGAAGCTCTTTGATTTTGAGGATAAAACCATCTCAGCTGAGATGGAGCTCTTCTGGTAAAGTAGGACAAAAGACACATAATACAAAGGAGAAATTGCAGGGGACACAAAGCCCAGACTTTCAGGATTGGGCCAGAGGGAGAAGGAAAAATGCTATTTGGGAAATTGAAATCACTGAATGATGTAATCAAAGGTGGGCAGGAAATAGTTTTCCTATCCTTCAACTATTTTCAAGCGTTTCAACATTTTTCTGATCTCGAAAAGTTGAAATCTCCAAATTTTTTGTGAACCATAAAACCAAAACAATTTTCAGTTTGGGTCCATCAAAACCTCTCATTTAAATTTTTTTGAAACATTTTGCTTTGATTTTTGACCTTGTTTATTTTTAACCCACTTTCTTTTCTTATTTTGATCAGATTAAAATCAAAGAAATGTAGGGCTGGAAGGGACCTCAAGAGGGCATGTAATTTGGCCCCCTGCACTGAGGCAGGGCCAAGTAAACCACCAGGTTATCCTTTACAAGTGTTTGTCTAATCTGTTCTTAAAACCCTCCAAAGATGGGAATTCCACAATCTCCCTTGGAAAACTATTCCAGAACTTAACTATCCTTATACACCTCGACCTCGATATAACGCTGTCCTCGGGAGCCAAAAAATCTTACCACGTTATAGGTGAAACCACGTTATATTGAACTTGCTTTGATCCACCGGAGTGTGCAGCCCCGCCCCCTGGAGCACTGCTTTACCGCGTTATATCCAAATTCGTGTTATATAGGGTCACGTTATATCGAGGTAGCGGTGTAGTTAGAAAGTTTTTCCTAATTCCTAACCTGAATTGCCCTTGCTGCAGGTTAAGTCCATTATTTCTTGTCTGACTCATGGTGGACCTGGAGCCCCTAACATATTTGGAGGCTGTTATCAGGTCCCCCCATAGTTTTTTTTTCTCAAGACTAAAATTGCCCAGTTTTTTAAATATTTCCTCATAGGTCAGTTTTTTTAATCCACTATCATTTTTGTAGCTCTCCTCTGTACTTTCTCCAATTTGTCCACATCTTTCTTAAAGTGTGGTGCCCCAAACTGGACACATTACTACAGCTGGGGCCTCACCAGGGTTTACATACAACACCCCTGTTAGTTTGACCCCAGAATGATATTAGCTTTTCTCAAAACTGAATCACATTGTGGGCTCACATTCAATTCATATACATTTCAGAATGTTTCAACAATTTTGAAACGTTTTTCAACTTTTTTTTATTCGTCGAAACTGACACTGAGTCACGAACAGTTTTGGTTTCAACAAATCAGCATTTTTTCTGGTGAAAAACTATTTTGTCAAAAAATTCCTGACCTGCTCTAGCTGTAATCATGAGGGACTTTAAGTCCTGTTTTTCAAAGCTTTGTGTGAATCTTTGTGCAGGTACCATCCCTACAGGTATTTTCATACACAAATGGCCATCTGTGCTTCTAACTGGCTGCTAGTACACCCAAATACCCGTTTTTGATGTGTAATTGTGATACTTGCCCCAGGGGTCAGGGAGCATAATGATAGTTTAATCCACTTTTCCTTTGCTCTGTAGAGTGTGGCAGAGAAGAGGATTTAGCCCTAAGCTTTTTCCTTGGAAAGGTTTACTCTTTCTTTATCAATTTTCTCTAATCTCTCAGTGTCTCCTTAATTTGGGCTGAATCAGGAGTTATTTATTTGTTCCATGACATTTGCATTTTCTATCATTGCTTCCTTAATGCATTCTGATCTTTTCTGCTCAACGAACTTATCCAATCACATTTGATCTAGAAGAAGTAAAGACACAAATTACAAAATACCTACACAGAAATTGCTCATAAGAAGGCATGTTACATGTCAGGAACTCAGTGCTGTCTAAATAGAGAGTAAGATGGCACTCTGAAAGAGATCAGCTTCACTGTACATTTGATTAAAGAGGTTTATTTGGGTAGGCTGTTAGTCATGTACAGCAATTTCTATGAGAATACTTATATAATATTATGAAGCTAAAGGATTTGTTTCCTGTTCCAGTCCTCTCTGATCAACATCATGCAGCTATGTTGGATGAATTAGCAACGCTTAATTAGTTCATGCATATACTTTGCAATTATTGATACAACGTGGAATTTTCAAACCAAATAGGTTGTGTGTACAAACTGATACTTGTGTGCACAATTTCTAGCACAGGCTCATATTTTGCAGGCACAACTGTGATGATAATTAGTTGAAAATATCAACTGAAGTGTTAGAGTCAAGGTGGGCGAGGTAATATCTTTTATTGGACCAACTTCTGCTGGTGTGAGAGACAAGCTTCCGAGTTACACTGAGTTCTTCCTCAGGTCTGTGTAGCTTGAAAGCTTGTTTCTCTCACCAACAGAAGTTGGTCCAATAAAAGATATTGCCTGACCGACGTTATCTCTCTAATATCTTGGGACTGACACAGCTACAACAAAACTTCTTACAGCTAAAGTGTTTACAGTCTCGCACTGTGGGGGGAAATACAGCCGCATTCTCATCTTGTTCATGCAATTAGGAATACTCAGAATGCACCCGAGAGGCTCCCTAGACAGAATGAACCACCTGGATAGGAACTTGAAAACATGCTGATTTTCTTAATATGGTTAAATAATAACCCCTGAGTGGCAATCTCAACATTTGTTTCTCTTAATGTCTTCCCAGCAATTTATGGTGCAGCTAAGTGTGTGGAAGTGAAATTCATTCCAATAAGTTTAATGGAGTTACTCTGGTTCTACACTGGTGTTATTGAAATAAGAGTCTGACTCAGTGGCAGAGCAAGGGCTTGATCTCAGGGGTTCCTGGCTTGCAAATATGTGCTCATTCCATTAGATAGCTCTGCCAAAATCTCATCTCTGTTCCAGCAGTGTAAATCTGGAGTGAGCGTCACTCCTTTAATACAGTGACTCTGAATTTCGCTGGTAAAACTGAGGGCAAAATTTGGCACTGGGTATTATCTAACCTTATCTGAACCATCCAAACCACTGGGGTTTTCTAGAGGTAGCTTGAAATCTTTAAAGAACTGACTTGAGAGATCTCTTGTAGTTCCTGCTTCTGAAGAAGCCAGAAATCCTGCATGAACAGTCTCTCTCAAGTGATTCCATCATTTCCAGTCCCAGACAAATCCTGGAAGTGCAAAACAAATGAAAAACAATGGCTTAATTAATGTCCACAAAGAATTTTCAGATTCACTATAGAAATGCAAATAATTAGTAGCAGTACCGAGTTTGGTAAATCAGAGAACCGGTAAAATATGTATGTCTCAGTGAGTATCATTCACATTTAGGTATTTAAGGGGAGGACTATCTTTTTGTTCTTTGTGCATATCCAGCGCCTAGCACAATATAGTCCTGATCTCTGTTTCTTAGCCATTAATGCAATACTACTTCTACTATTAATTTAATTTAATTTCCCTTCCTCTGCTGTCCTAGTGACATCTGCTAAATAACATTTATCAATATAGTTCTCATTTACCTGCCTTACCCCAGTTATATCATTCCTTTCTTTAGTGGGACAGAAAACTATATGATGGTTGGCCAAATTAGTAATCCTGCATTTAAATCTAAGCTGTGAAGTTCAGCAGCAAACACATTTGGCATTTGCACAGATATTTTGGTTCTGCTTTCAGATCTTTGATGTGCATTTCTAGAACCATTGGTCTCAGCACTGCTCTGTAATTCAGTAGAAGCCCGAAGATCATCAGTCACTGCTATTTGCTTGTACTTGCTGAAAAATCCTCACTGTCAAGATGTCATTCTGTGCTATTGTTGTCTAGTTCATCATCATTTGAGTCTCATAAATGGATTTTCTATCTGTACTGTAGGGAGAACAGCCATGACCACAGTCTTTAAAACTTAAATGCAACTTGTCGTCCATTCTCATTTTTTCAGTTACTCGGAACCTTTTCAAACAAATTTCCTTTAGGTGGAAATTGTCCTTGCTTTAGGGCCTTGTGCAAATCCAGTGAAGTAAATGTGAGTCTTTCTTGTGATTTCGGTGGGCTTTGGATCAGCCCCTTAGCCTTTGACAAAAGGCTGTGTGTGTGTGTGAGAGAGAGAGAGAGAGAGTGAGAGAATTTTTAGCAAAATCTGTTGAGCCACTTTTTAATTCTGCCCATGTTTAAAAAAATAACCCGTCACAGTAAAATAACCCCCACTTGTCCTCTATGTTCCAAAAAGAAAATGTGTGCAGCATGCTTAACTCAATTAAGTTCAACACAGTTTTGTTCAAACGTAGCTTGCAATGCATTTTTCATTGGAATCTAAGAAACGAGCCAAGTTTGAATAAAATTAGTTAAGAGAGCACATGTTTTTTTTTCATGCACTCCTGGGATTTTTGCTGCGTTTCTTTCCTTTATATATAGTTTAGAATGTTGTCCACTTTCATGTTGCCTCCCCATCTTCATACTGCACACATATAAACTGAATCCCTCAGTCAGATCCAGGTCCACAACTGTTGCTGTTGTTCACTGTCAGTTTGTTTTTAAACCAGACTTTAAGGTTATAGATCTGGGGGAAGCGGGGAGGGAGAGGAAAACAAACTATATAGAGATTCTCCTCTTACTTGCACTGGTTTCCATTTGGAATGATTCCATTCAACTTAATAGACTCACACCAGAGTAACACTGGCATGAATATGAGGGGGAAACATCAAGCCCATAGTTTTTAGTCCCAATCATCTTTAGGAAATACCATTTTATCTAAAGAACAGCTGAAGAAAATAACAGTGGGGTGCAAGGAATTAAAGATTATGGTAAATGTCTGGGGTGGTCTTGATTAGTTAGAACATTGATCTTTGAAGATCACAGTGACACCTGAAAAACTCTGCTTTTGAGCTCTCCCTTCTTTCAAGCCTTTTCACATAGACAAAGATGTCATTTTGTAATGGTTGCTTATATAATAAATTGCACAACAACCAGTATAAATTTGCTCTGGGGGTAGATACAGATATATCCTAAATACAATTGTATTCAAGGATTGTTTTTATTTTGTATCCCTGAAATCAAAGAGCAACAAAAAAATCCACAAGAAAAAACAGGATAATTTTTATGCCAGTTCTTCCATTATTTTGTAATTGTCATGTAACATCACCCCACACATTAAGGAAATTCCTAATATGGCTCTGGAAATAATGAAAAGATATAAGTAAAGAATTTTTTTTTAAATGCACCGGTTACTACCACCTATGCTATACTGTAGCAAAGCTTCTCAGATGGATAGTAAAAGTGAATCCCAACGATCCCACCAGCAGGGGGTCCAGAAACTTTATCTAGTATTCTGAGGAAGCCAGTCCCACATACATAACACACAGATCTCACATTTTCAAAGAGGTATAATAGCACTGGGAGAGAATGGGGAGAAGTAGGCCAGTAATGTTCTTTATCCAAATACTCTCAGAAACTAGACTATTTGTAAAACAGGGTCCACTCCTGCTCTGTTTCTTGAACAAAATGATGGTCCTGAATCCACATACGAAACACATCCTGCCCATGTATCTGAATAACCCTCCCCTCTTTTAGTACAATTTCCTTTTTTTTTTAAAAAAAAGTCACATTTTACTAGCCATTTAAATTGAAACAGAATAGACCAGAAAAAAAGAAAGCTATTAAGAGGATTTAGTTATGAGATGATGGGGCCTTTCAGCTCTCCTGTCCCAGCTGAAGTCCTGCTATGGTTGATAGTAAATGAAAATCACTTTTACCCTTTAATGTCTGTTTAGTGGCCTATGTGGGTGAAACAACTTGGTAGACTCAGTCTCTTACTGACAACCAGGACAGAGAGGCCCAGGATCAAGCAGGGACAGAGAATAAGCTCCCCACTAGATGTGCTCCCTTCAGTGAAATGTTGAGGCACATTGGTTAGGCTCCAGCAGGATCTTCCACAGCCAGTGCTTATTCTGTAGATAAATCGAGGAGTTCAATCTACAGTGTTATCATAGTGTGGCACCTTTCATCAGTGAATTCATTTTTAAATATAAAAACAGATGCCCTGTGTTTCAGAGCTGTGTGTAGAGCCTTCACTTCTTGATTATATAATTTGTCTCAAAGGAAAAGTCATTAAAATCTGAGGAAAATGTGTTTGTGAATTATGAAACTTCCACTCTGAACATTGGGTAAACTGTAAAACTTTGTGACATGTGTCAAAGTTATTGGGTGAACTAAATCTCTGGCCTCTTTTGGTCTGTTTGAATACAGCCTTCTTGGTCCGCCAACCAGCAGGTTTCTTAGGGTGGAAACGTGAAATTCTCCCACTTCCAGATCAGGTCTTGGGTTACAGTGCCTTGGTACTAACTGTCATTACCTCAGCAGGTCTGACTTAGGCTCAGACCTGGCAGTTCTGTTCCCTCTGAGAGCTGTGACCAGTGGTTGCTAGAGTACACAAAAAGCCTTCTTAAAATAAAATATTATTTATTTAGAGTAAACAGATCTGAGAAACAATAAACCTAGGAATGTCTGTCTCTCCCTAAGGCATATAATTCCCTGGATCTAGAACAACCAACTCCTTTAGACTCCTTCTGCAGAGTCTAGGATGACCAGATGTCCCAATTTTATAGGGACAGTCCCGATATTTGGGGATTTGTGTTATATAGGCACCTATTACCCCCTA